CTTCCCTTTCCTCTTCTGCCCCTTCTAGCCTGGCTTTGGTTGCTTCCACTCCTGCCTTTGAAACCAACTGGTTTGTGTGCTTCTTCAAACTGGGTCCTTTGTGGTTAACTTGGTTTGCAGCAGTCTGGCCGCCACCAGGGAGAGTGATGCCATTCACCAGCGGAAGCTCCGGAAGCTCCGGCAGAAACAGCTGCAGCAGCAGTTCCGCCAGCGAATGGAGGCTCGCCTGCAGGGCCAGGCACCTGCTGCAGAGGTGGAAGCCGAACCTGAGGGTGTGTGAGGATGTGTGAGGGGGAGACTGTGACTCACTCCAGGCCGTGCCTCGCTAGGGCTTCTCAGAGTTCCATGTAGGACAGATGACCCCATGGAATTAGTATGGTAAAATATGCTCTGCTCCTTCCCAGTTCTAAAGACAAGGGGATTTTCAGGGAGGTCAACGGCCATGATTGGCATAATCTGCACCACTTGGGAGGCAGAGGCAGGTGGATCTGTGAGTTCCAAGTTGACCTGGAATACATAATGAGGCCTCTCCCTGTCTTCTGGAATTTGAAATTTAAAGTAAAGAATTGCTTTGTCTCTGCATTAGGAAACTTGCCTCTTGGATGGCTTTGGAATATAAGACAAAGCTGAAAGATAACTGGAACTTTTAGCAGATTATTTACCCAGGAGCTTAAATTAACCTGAGCTTGGATTTCACAGAATTAGATATTTCTGATGTGCAGACATTTGCTAAGGACTTTTCAGGTTCAGAGAACATTTGCCCTTTTTCTCTGTGTAGTGAAGGTGCAAGAGACAGGTTATATGCTGGGTTTATTCTCACCCCTTAACCCAATGCAACATTAATGTAGGAAAAAAACAAACTAAAACATATTCATCATTCTGGGCACATCCTGAGTAATGAGTTAGCCTAAAAGTTTGGCTTCTGGCAATGCCAGGAGCTTGAAGGACAGGGATGGGATTCAGGATGCACTGCTTTGTTCCAGAACCACTGGGCTGGAAGACTCCTACCACCCCCCTGCCTTTGCTGTTGACGGGAAAATGGGTTGGTGGTGTTGCTCAGACGGTAAAATGTTTGCCTGGTGTCCCAAGTTCTGGTGTTGTGGTACCACACTGCTGTTATACTAGGAGAATCAGATATTCAAGATCATCTTGGCTGTATAGGAGTTTAAGGCCTGCCAGAGCTACATGAGAGACCCTATCTCTCAAAAACAAAATACCAAAGAAAACACCTGGTTCTCCCCCCTGTAGTAGACATACAGAGTTGGAGGTAGGCCTGGGAGTTAGGAATCTGAACACTCAAGGTATATCTTGCAAGAGGGAATAGACTTCATAGGGAGTTGACAGATTAATGTGACCTCTGGCTTGTCCTTTGTCTCCTGTGCACACTGTAGCAGTGCTTCCAGCCCCTCCTCCGAAACACAGCACCCCCATAACTGCTGCTTCAGAACTCCTCAGGGAGAAAGCCATCTTCCCAGGTAAATCACTTAAGAATTAACCAGTAAACACTTAGGAGTATGTATGAGTTACTCTGCTGTGTGCTTTTTGGCAGATATAGAACTCATTTTTTGGGGGAGGGTTAGGTGCAGTACTGGGATTAAACCTGTGCCCTTGTGACACTAGGCAGGTGCTTTACCATTGAACTATATACACAGCCCATAGATTTCATCTTGTAGTCAGTTCTCTCCTATTACCATGCGGGTCCTGGGTCTTGAACTCAGGTTGTTAGATTTGGTGGCAAGTGACTTTACCTGATTAGCCATCTCTCTACAACTTATCTGATTTTTAGTGCTGTAAAGATTTATAAAAATAGAAAGAAGTCCCCAAATTGACTGACAGGGGATCTGATACATGTTCTCTAACAAAAGAAAAGACTTGGGGTATTTGTCGGAACAAAAAAAATTGCAGATTTATGAGAGGGAACTGAAAGCCTGATTTTTTTTTTCTTTTTTAACCATGAGACAGGGTCTTACTGTCTGTTGTGAAGCTGTCCACCTTCCTGCTGCCATGTGCAAAACATGAAAGCTGTTATAATACTGTGATTCTCTCCATAGACAACCCTGAAGACAACCCTGAAATGTGGGACCTGACTCCAGATTTAGAGGACATTATTAAGCCTTTGTCTAGACCAGAACCACCCCAAACTTCTACCACCCGAGCCCTTAACAACCAGGAGGTGATTCAGGATGGTGTCCTACACAGCCTTTGCCACCAGATGCCACCAGAAAAACCTGGAGCTGGGTACCCGCAGACTTGCAGTACTCACCAGCATGTACTAGGTAGCAGAGATCTTTGGAAGAAAATCCTGGGTTTAATTCTATAAAATCTAAAGGGAGGGAGCTAGTTCATTTTAAGAAGTTGCATTAGGGTGACTAGAAAGATGGCTCAGCAGTTAACAGTGCATACTATTCTTGTAGAGGACCAGGATTTAGCTCCTAGCACACATGTATTACCTCACAGCTGCCTACAACTCTAGGTCCAAGGGATTGGACACCCTCTTTTGTTGGGAGAAATGGTACACAGTGGCAACATGCCTGTAATCCCAGCACTCAGGAGGCTTAGACAAGAGGATTTCTGTTGAGTCTGAGGCCAGCCTGAGCTGTATAGTCAAGTATAGGTGAGTTCTGTGGGCTGGGTATTTAGCTCAATACTAAACTTGCTTAGTGTGTTGCACGGCTCTGGGTACAATCAGGCCAGTGAGGACTACATATTAACATCTTTATCAAAAAGAAAAAGGAAAAGCTGGATGGAATGCTAAGGCAGCAAGCAGTGCAGGTGAAGAGTATTTGAGCTAGTGGCTCTTGATTTCAGGTCCAGATCTACTCTTTAGATCTAGGATGAGGTGTGCCCAACCTGAGATGAGACTCTATGAATGCAGCCCAATACAAACTTACATTCTTTTTTTTTTGTAATTTGAGTAGCTCTTGCTGAACTTTGATCAAAGTGTTTTATAATGTTAAGATGCATGCTTGTAGGAAGCAAAGGCCTGACTAGATCTAGAGAAGTGTCATGAGAATGACAAACAGTGGTCATTCTCTTCTGTGTATTGTCTGAATAAGAGTTGCTAGCCTATACAATCCAGTAATGATTAGATTAGCTGCTGCTGAAAGTCAAGGCTGCTTCATTTTAACTATTTATCTTTTACAGGAAACTCTGACTCTCATAGGAAGATCCAGGACCTGAAGAAAAGGAAACTGGATCCATCCTGAAGCTCAAGACATGACTATTCTGTCACAGGAAGTTTGGTCACAAAATTGTTCTCAAGGCTTTCTTTTGAACTTATTAGAGTACTAGAGTACTTTAAAGAGGTTGTCATACCCTATGATGGGAGGGAGGCAAACAGATAAAATGCCTCTCCATTGGCTCTGCATTTTCTCAGTACTATTCATTCAGGCTACCTTTTAGTGATGCAGCCCATCTAAGCACCAGCTTGATCATCACCTTCATTAAATTACATGTTAGCTCATCTCTCCTTTTGTTTTCCACTAAGTGTTAACCAATCAGGCCATGGAGGTGGTTCAGGATCACACATGGATTCAAGTCAACAGAACCCTCTCTTTATCTAGAGAGAAGTACCAACACGTACAGTGGGTGCTTTCGCATCTCTGATTTAGGTCTTCTCCATTCTCTGCGCTTACCATGTCCTGTGGTTGTATGTGGTTTGTATACAGCAAGAAGGCCAGCATGAATTTTTTTTCAATTTTATATGATTAAGTTATAATAAAGACTACATCTCAACAGTTGCCGCCTTAATTTTATTTGTTTTGGTTTGGTTTTTTGAGACAGAGTTTCTCTGTGTAACAGCCCTCGCTGTCCTGGAACTTACTTTGTAGCCCAGACTTACCTTGAACTCAGAGACCCTTAACTAGTGCTGGGATTAAAGGTGTGCGCCACCACCACCCAGTTCCCATTAGTGCATTTTCGAGCCATCGAGTAAATTCATATTTAAACATTGACAGAATTGTGAAATTTACAACTGAGATTACTGGTAGATAAGCCTTTCATGGCTGTACTTGGCAAAGGCAAAACTCACATCAACGGTGGAATTCTCATTATACTACATGGAATTTTAAAGAATTGTTTTCTTCTGGCTACTTTGAATGAAAAAACATGGGTTATGGGGGGAGCCACTGCATAATTTCCCATTTAAAGAAATGACAATCGGGTGATGGTGGTGAATGCCTTTAATCTCAGCACTCAGAAGGCACAGGCAGATGAATCTGAGTTCAAGGCCAGCTTCACAGAGAAACCCTGTCTCAGAAAAAAAAAGTCATGGCATCTCCCCCAAGCAAGGAAATGAATGATCATAGGTTTTGTTGTTTGTAATTTTACAGGTGTTTTGCCTGCATGTACGTGCACATGCATTTGTAGTATCCACGGAAGAGTTAGAAGTTGTTAGATTCCCTGGAACTGGATTAATGTTGGGAGTGAGCCACCATGTGGGTGTTGGGAATTGAACGTGGGTCCTTTGCAAAGGCAGTACACACTCTTAACTTCTGAGCCCCAGGTGTAGGTTTTTTAAGGAAGCAACTACGCTAAACTGTACCCCCCGCCCCAGTAGTTTTCTTTCCCCAAATGAACAATGAATTTGTAATTTTACTTAAGCTGAATTTGGGGTTTTGTGGTGCTGAGTCCTTAAAAAAAATTTTAATTCCACTATATTTATTGTGCATGAAGAAATTGGTGCTCTCTCTTCATACCATGTGGGTCCCAGGAATCAAGCTCAGACCATTGTGTTTGGTGGAAAGTATCTAATACTGGAGTAGGGCCGGACCTGTCTGTGGGAAGGTGAGACCTCAGATACTTAAACAAGTGTTGCCTGACAGCAGTTTGCCACATGCCACCAAACTTTGATTTTTTATTGTTAACAGCTTGATTTAGGTTAGGATAAAACTACTGCTAAAAGTTCCCAAGGGCAACAAATCCAGTTATAAGTTGTACAAAATTAAAAATAAAGCATAGAGAACAAAAGGCATTTTTAGCTAGAAATGACACCCCACAGCTCAACAAAAGCAAGTTTGGTTTATTTGAATGGTTTCATTAAATAAGTCTACAAAGGTAACAAACTGAAGCACAAAGCGCAATCTTACAAGAAGCGCAACACCCGGAGTTAGTGCAAAATGTACAGTTAACGGCTGCTGAGAAACCCCAAGGTTTGAATTCAGTTTTAAACAGTGTACATTGTTAAATAACGTAAGGAAAACATTTATAATTCGGAAAGTTCTTTTTAAATGTGGAAAAAGGTACTCAAAGTGTACTATTAACACAAAAATAATTTAAACAGTTCAGTAGCACTAGCTCGTTTCTCTAGGCTTCAGTTATTTCATCCACAGGAGGGCAAAAAAAAAAAAATCAACAGCAAATAAACTTTTGTGAATGGGGAAAAGACCTCAAGATGACTAAAACCAAAACCAACAACATGCTGCATCTGGCTCCCTCTACCACTGGTACAAAGCACTCTTACCCATCCTACAACCCGTTTCATTTCCACAGCACCTCTTACCCTCTCCCAAAAGGAATAAATGAGTCAACACTTTGGTAGCAGGATCTGAAACAAAAACCATGTTCTTTTCACCTCCCTCCCCTAAAACCTTTCAGCTTTCATGTGTATCTTTTGGCCTAGACCAACTTAAAAAGAACAGGACTCTTAAAGAAAGAAGGGTACAGGTAGCCAGTGTCTGGTGTGTAACTCCTGGGATGTGTCAATGAGGTTGGAAATGTGTCAGTTCCCAACTCAGGGTCAAGGAGGAAGCACCCAAGAAACGAGGACTTCTACTTCTCTCTCCACATTCTCAGAGTATTAAGATCCCAAACAGTCAATTAGGTATCGACAGAAAACTGCCTGTTACAACTAGACGTAGTACTAGATAATACTGGTTGGTTGTAGTTATTTGGGAATATGGGCATGAAACTGTGAGAGTATTAGTTCTAATACAGAAGTATAGGTGGTACAGATTCTGACTGTGCCACCACTGGGACATTGTAGGAGAAAGGGGTAGGAAAGGAAAGCACTTTTTCCTACAGTGCTTAGAAAGTCAGAAGTGGGTCCATTTTCCACAATACAGTACTTCAAGTGGAGAAATGTGTGGTACCTGTACAAGAGGTGGGAACACCAAGCAGGTTTCCTTAGAACAACATTTTCCATCTTTGACTCGGCACTGCCATCCTTCCCAACTTAGAATCTAGCCCGCTCCCATCTCATTTTGTTGTATTTCTTCTAGCTTTTGTTAGTCCACTGGCCAGGCATCACTTCAAACAAGCTTGTCCCCACATCTCCGGTCCTTATCTTTCACACAGCTCATAACCCCCCTCATTCTTTCTGAAACAGAACTTCGTTTTCAACCTCTGATGCCAACTTCTCACTGTGCTCATCTCACACCTGCTCTAGGCAAAACTGTTTGAACGACTGAAAAAAAAAACAACAACAACAACAACAACAACAACAAACCCACTTTCATTTTTCCCTTTGGCATATCCACTGCTGGGGTCATATGGACCTAAGATTTCTTTCCACATACCCTTTGGTGACCTGGGGTCTGGTAAGTTGATGCTAACAGCAGAAGCAAGAGAAGTCCAAGGCACTAAAATATCCAGCAAGCAATACTGGGAGAACAGAAGTATTCAAGTACAGTAATTTATACAATTTTACATTCACATTTATTTATCTAATACAATGGAAATACAAAGGAAAAAGTTAAAGTGTCTTAATAAGTAATGGACAGAGCTAGCTTTTTGTGTGTGTGTGTGTGTGTGTGTGTGTGAACCTTTTAAACCTTTCAAATTTTACTCTTAAAACTAATGTTGTCCAACAACATTTATATATCACAGTGTTTCCACATCAAAACTGATGGCAAAATTACATGTCCTCAGGGAACATCATTGTTTTCCCTAATTGCTAATGCTGCAGTCAAAGCTGCTAATATCTTGCGTAAAGCATTAATGACCTATATAAGAAAGGGTTGCAACCCCAGTCCCCTGGTATTTTTCACTAGGTTGTAAAGGGAAAAAAAAGAAAGTGGGGATAGGGATCAGAGTGGGAGAGAACCTTCTTGTCTTAAGGTGTGCATTCTTGTGGGAGTAAGGAATTTGGGGCATATGTCAAAATTAAGAGCTCTACCCCACTCACAGATTATATATGGGGTTTAGTTTACATTGAGCTCTTGGGGGTGATCTGGTAACAAGGCTCTCTTCTAGCTCTAGGCCTTACTGGTGGGTACAGAAACAGGAAAGCAGTCTCAGGCAAACCCCTCCACCAGAAAGCTGCTCTTTCTTCTTTTTGAACTCCAACAAATGGAGAGGGAGGGTGGTTCTCCATTCTAAGGGCTCAAAATGGTATTAAAAACATTCCCTTCTGGCAAGAAACAACCAGTTAAATGCAGCACTAGTAGTTAGTATATAGGCTACTTCCCCAACCCCCCAACCCTCAGCATTCCATCTCCTGCTCCCAATCTATTTAGTTAACATCTTCATGTCTGACTAAGTGGTCCGCAGATTGGAACCTGGGGGATTGCTGATGGACTTCTGCAAGTTGCTGATGTTGAAATTCTGCAAGGAAGCAGTTCCTACAGGTTGGAACTGGCCAAGTGGCTGTGGTGCTGGACCACCTGTTCCACTCCACTGAGTGCCAAATGGGGCAGCTGGAAAACCATACTGCTGTGGGGGGCACATGGACTTGGTGAAGTGACCTAGAGAGGTAGCAGATGCTGCAGAGATGGGGGCTGAGCCACCCAGGTTTGAGGTCATGGAAATGCACAGCTGCCCAGGAGCAGAGAACTTCCTTGCCATTCCAGGGCCCTAAAAACAAGAAAGTAATAATGACAAATTGATATAGGTATAATACCAAGAAAAAAAAATGTGTGATAACTGCAGTGCTGTTCTAGGGCTTGAGATGTTTTAATCTTAGTGTTACCAAAACATAACAAAGCCTCCTACAATATTTATTGGCTCTATGTTTAACAAGGAGAGAAAACTCGGGTATGAGATGTGTGCATATGTGACAGGTGTAAGTGTGCACACACAGGTAGTGTAGGATACTGAAATAAAACGGTACCAAAGTGATTGTTACCTTGTTTACTCAATAATGTTAGAATCCATGGGCTGCTGAAGAAGGTGGTGGCAAGGATGGTGTACCAGTGTTGGCAGTCCTCAACTCATCTGTGTGTTGGTAGTCTGGCAAGTTAGGAAAAGTGGAAGACTTACCTCATAATTCATGTGTCCTTTGCTCCCTCTCCTGCCGGAAAGATTCATGGCATCTCGGGCCCAGTTGTCTACCAACTTGTGCAGGTCATCTGTGAATGTGCCCTTCCTACTGGAAGTCATGGCAGGTGGCTGAGCCTGGGCAGCCTGGCTACTCACTGTTCCCCCAACAGTATTTGTGCTGCTGGTCCCTAGAATTGTAAGCAACACAATATTAGCATTAAAGGGGATCTGGGATATGACTCTGGGGAAAGGGAAAATGTAACAGGATAATGAATGGCAAGCCACAGAATGGGGAGAATAATTGGGAAGCCATGCAGGATAGGAAGATACCAAAGTTTTATTTATCCGTTTGCTTTTGCATAACAGGTAGTGAAAATGGTTTCATTTCCATAGCTTGTAGATAAGGCTCAACAACTTGGGATGGTGGAAGGCATGGGTAAAGGCTTCTTTCAAAGCAACCTGTAATACTGGGACTGTCTGCCAGTGCTCTGTTCCCAGCACTACACTGACGAGGGAGTGATATGGTCCACAAGGCTGGCTGCTATGGAACTTTGCAGAAAGCAGGGCCAAAGAAGTACTGTGTGCTGGGTAAGTTAAAGTAGTACAAATGCAGAGATCAGTGCTTGTTGTGGAAAGATGGGGTTCCCAGATCATGTAGATACTGTGGCATTCTTTAGTCAATCTTTTACAAATAGAAGTAACGAGACACTGCATGCTCTGTTCAAAACTTTTTTTTCCCCACCTGGAACCACAAATATAAATTTGTAAATATAAACTTGGAAAAGAGTCAAGGCCCCAACTTTTCTCAGTGTCCCATGAGCAAAGAACTGAGATTCGGCAGTGGGGAAAGATGTGCCTAAATCTCTCAGGTCCAGGAAGTTAGTTTTTTTGAGGACTTGTCTTTTAATTGGTTCAAGGATTCTTATCCCTTCTCCCCACTCTTCCCAATGGAACAAGCACTCCTGGGTAGAAGCAATAGGAAAATGCAGTTGAGGCAGGGGAAGGGAAAGGAGGCATAGAGGTTATGATGAAGGAATTCTATTTCTATAGTTTGATGAAAAAGAAAGGAGGAGTCTGTGTCCTGCCTGATTTCGGCTCAGCTGGAGGGCACACTGAAGGTTATTCGGAGAGGCAAGTTTTGGGGAAGAGGGAAAGAAGAGTCATGGTCTCATTTTTGTTTATATCCCCCTTTATTGTCAGACTTCACATTTACTACATAGTAAACAAAGGTTACTAAAGTAGTGAGCCAGTAGGCCCTATCATACTCAAGGAAACCTGGGACTAAGTGCATGCGTTTTTCTGCTTTCAATGCCAAAGCAGCACACCAGAGCACAGCAGCACATCTGAAGCAACCCTACCTACTACCGCCCTCTACAATCCTGTTTGTGCCAAAGGGTGTATATTTTATCACCTAAGGAGTGGCCCACCAAGGCATAAAGCATGTCTGTGCTAAAGGAAAGCTAACTCAGGTGAAGCTGCAGAGTGAGGATGCTCACATGCTTCTTCTGGTCACTGTGGCAAGACATGAATTACTGCAGTCACATGGTGTCTGCTAGAACTGCAGGGGATCATTACTACAGACAGCATAAATTCATCTCAGTACAGGAAACCAAGTGGGAGAATATAAAAACACAGGAAACAGCTTTCCTTGAATAGCAAATGTGGGAAAAGATGCAGTGGGAAGAAAGCACAGGCCATGAGGATGGGCAGTCACAACAGTGAGGAAACCCACAAAGCGAGCATGTGGCATGCACAAGGACTAGTATCCTGCTGGATGACGGGCCAGATGATCCAAACAATAGAAATATCCACAAGTGAGTAAAGCTGTTGGTGCCAAATGAGAAGCCAAGTCAGGGTGAGCACTGCTTATCCAGAGAGCTCATGCCAGAAGTCACACTTCTCTAGTCTGGTGCTAGTTGTTTTTGATGCTGTGAGGGCCCTTTAAAACCAAATGCCATTCACTTTAGTCTACGTTTTTCAATATTGGATTCTTAACATGAGGTTTACCTTATAAGGGAGAGTCACCCTACGGTTAGCCTTATTTACTGTAGTTTCTGACTGTAAAGTAGGATTAGTAGGCTTTCTGCAGAGAGTGCTAACTTTTAAATCTTTTCAGTCCCCCTGAAAGCTTATAGATATCCCTAAAAGTAGGAGATTTTATTTCTCTAAATTCATGTTCTGAGTTTCTCCTACCCCAACACTGGCAGGTTATAAGCCATTATGAGCCACACTCACTCTAACACTCTAGACTCTTATAAACTGCTAGTATTAATTTCTTAGCATCTGCATTTTATTTTAATGAGAACCTCCTAGGCTAAAAAGTCAAGCTCTATAATCAAGTAGCATTCCTCTCCCCTGTACCTGAGCACCAACTTCTACTGAGATACGCAGAGGATGTGAGGACATGGCCCTCTGTGTACACTTAGATTACTGTTCAGTGTTGATGAACAGTAGTGGAGTGGTGGGCGCATGCACTGACTCAGAGACTCTTTTCTGTACAAAACCTAGGCTGCCTCCATCTCTCCATGTATCCACGGATACAGACTAACACAGCTGGACTCACATGAGAGAACTGACTATGAAGTGATTTCTCAAATCTGGAAGTAGTAGTAGCAATAAAATATAGCAGTTAAGCACAATAAGAAATATTATCAGAAAAGGGTGCAGGGATAGATGGAAATTAGGAATCAGGGAGTTATGAGGCTTCATAGTTTAAAGAACTCATGGCTTTGCAATCAGGATCAAAAGTAACAGAAAGAAGATAATTACTACAGAGCTGGTTGCAAGGACAGACTTTTTTCACCATCTTCCCTGAAGCACAAAGAGAGAGCAGTGTGTTAAAGAAGTATCAGTAAAATCTTTATATGAAATCTCCAAACAGCACACAGAAGCCCAGCAAGAGAAAGCAGGAGGGGACAGACGGGTGGGACCTGGCAGCCCTAGATGTAGAGACAAGTCTAGGGACAAGTCTAACTGACTTTGAGTGTAAACAGAGTTGTCAGATGGACTGTGAAGTCTGGAGCTTTTACATCTCATCTTTATTTCTAAAATGAAATGTGACATTAAGGTTCTGGAGGACGGAGGAACAGGTCTAACTGCTTGAATTCCAAATACCCAAGCAGCACTTCCATTGACCATGTCCTACTTCCTGTTTCTCCTGCTGGGTTGTTACAAAGCATTTAAATCAGTACCACTGTTACACTTTAAGTTGATTTAAAACTGGCTGTTTTATTTCCACATCCTAGAGTCTCAGTCTCCCCCCCCCATACACCCCATTCCTTCCAGAATTTTAAAACTATGTGGAAAGTATGTGGAAAACAAGCAACCTTTAAATATAGATAGAGCATTAAGCCAAGCCGTGCTTTTCAAACTATTTTGAGAAGATAAGATTAATGTATCCAAAACAAGTAAGAGACCCTACCCTTCTTCCAAACACCTGTTTTCTTTATATATATTTTAAAACATCTGCCTCCTAGGATTTGTCCAGCAGTTTTGCATGACTTATCATCAAGCACTTTCAACAGGTATAAGTCTTCATTTAGACTCAAAGGGAAGTGGTAAGGTTTACCACTTCTAATCATTTTCAGATCAATACTGCCTAAACTTAAGAGCATGCTGTAAGACACAGAATTAATTCAAACGGTGGGTAGGTAGATTGTGGATCACAGGCAGGCCCTGGGTGCATTTTACCGCAAAATACCCATCCTATTATTAATGTCCTTTAATCTTTCTAGCTGGATATACAAATTAAATGTTTATTCAAGTGTGAATAAATGTTTATTCAAGACATGCATAGTCTGAGCTAGTCTAATAAAAAAACTATTGATAGAAGTATACCCAAATCATGCATGCTTAGAAACTATCAACATGGGCAATGGCTTCCAGCCACTTTGTTGAGCTCAGCCCTGGACCACTGGCATGTGTGGGAATGTGGCAAAAGAAGGCTGTAGGTAGAACCAATCCATGGCTAACATGTCAGTGAGGGAAACAGGTTAAATCTAATATACCAAGGTACAAGAGAACAAAGCAGAGTGTAAATTCTTCCCACCATGAAGAGGCCAAAGGCTCTCTGAGCCACATACAGAAACACTGATGGCTTTAGCACATGCATTTAAAAAGCATTTTAATAACCACACCAGAAGTTTGAGGCCTGAACTGATTGTCATCCAAAACTCTAACAAAGTTCTTTTTCTTACTTGAGTTTTTTCTTTTTAAAATATTTCTTTCAATATAGACTCTTTGGCTACCTATCAATACCAGACAGGTCTTTGCTAATTACAGGGAATTGAGTTTTCTAAGTAGCAGCTGTTTTTGTGGACAATATCTTATTTAAACTGTACAATAGCCTTAGGAAGCAGGCACTGATTTCACTCCTTACAGGAAGAGGACAATACAGGGCAATTTGGTCCTGGGCTGCCACTTTCTTCTTAAGATTTGTTTTTATTTCATGTGTATAGGTGTATCTTGCTTGCATATATCTCTGTGGACCATGTGTGTGAAGTGTCCCAAGGTGAGAGTGGGTGTTGGATACCCTGGAACTGGCATTATAGTTGTGAGCTATCATGTAGGAGTTGGAAACTGAACCTGAGTCCACTGGAAGAGCAGCCAGTTTCACATGTACCTTTTGTGGTTTGTGCTTTTGTGAGTAGGTACATGTGGAGGTCAGGGGATACCCTCAGGTGTCAGTCTTCATGAGCCACCCAGTCTTTTCTGAGGAAGGGTCTCTCATTGGCCTGGGGCTTGCTGACACAGCTAAGCTGATTTGCTCATGAGACCTAGGTTCTTTTTTTCTCCAACTTTTCTAGTACTAGGACACCCCAGCTTTTTAACTTAGATTGTGGGATCAAACTCAGGTCCTCAATCTGCATGGCAAGCATTTTACTGAGGTATCTTTCAAGCTTCCTGCACCTTATTTTAAATCAGAAAATGAAGTTCTATTAATACCTAATATTAAAATGATAAATTTCACTTGCAGGCACTTGGCTTTGGTCTTTAAAAGCTGGGCAGTGATGCTTAAGCCTTTAATCCCAGCACTTGGAAGGCAGAAACAGGAGGGTCTCTGTGAGTTTGAGGCCAGCCTGGTCTACAGAATGAGTTCCAGGACAGTCAGGATCATACAGAGAAACTCTGTCTTGAAAAAACAAACAAAAACGAAAACAACAATAACAAAAAAGCTTTGTAAGATAACTATACTAAATGTTCTTTGAACTATTTAATCTCATGGAGTCGGTAACAGAGGTGAAGATATTTCTAGCATCTCTTTAATCTGCACATGTTTGGGCTTAACTGAGAAGATTTCAATCCATATTTAAAAGAATGGAAAACAAGGTAAACTTTTACCTTCCATCAGGATCATGCACCAGTGGTCAACCTGATTCTTGTCTTTTTTTTTTTTTTTTAAATTTTAATTTTGAGATAGGGACTTGCTACACAGTCCATTCTGGCTACAAACTTACTATCTTTGCTTTTCCCTCCACAGTATGGGAATCATGGACACCACCACTCCTAAAGTCCGGGCAATGAGACAGCACTGAGTATGACTGTTTATTGCAGTGTTAATAGAGGTGCTAACATATTTTACCTGGGAGTTATTTTGAAATCTATAAAACCCACTGCTGTCTCTGTATCTTTTTCTATAATTTACACAGGGACCCAAACTTCTGAGGGTAATAGTCAGCCAGGCCACTGAGTAGATGAAATATAAAAGAGACAAATGAAAATGGACTGCGTGACAATCAGATCCAAAGCAGCAGAAAAACAAGGACAAGGAAGGAGTAAAGGTGTTACACACAAAGAGCCAAGCAGGGCGTACTCAGAAATCGGGTCCTCCTGCCACCAGGTTTGAATGTCACCTGCTCAGATGCACAGTTAAACTTCGCACAGCCTGTGAGAAGGGAAAAGGAAAGAACAGAGAGGAGAAGAGACAACACAACTACAAGATGTTAGCGCTTGAGGCTGGAGTGGTGACACACTGGATGGCATGTGGAAGAGGGAGATCTATAGGGAAGTTCATCTGTTGTATGAGACAGACACCAAGCCTCCCCCATTGGCAGAAATGAAGCTTTTTTCAATTGGAACAACATTAACAACTTTGTGTTGTTTCTTACTAATTACTTCCATTAGCTGGAGGGGAAGGAGGGAAATTGAATGTCTAATTTCTATGAAATTGTGCTAGAAGCACTTAATTATCTGTAGGTCTGTCCTCCAATTCCTTTCTACCCAGACACTCAATTCATTACTTTAGTTTTGACTTTTGTTTCACTATTATAGCCCAACTTGGTCTCAGCCTCATGAGTACTAGAACTAAAGGTATGTGCCATAATGCCCAACTTTCCTTTCAATTCTAGTTTTATTTTTTTTATTTATGTGTATGAGTGTTTTGCTTGAAGATAAGCCCACACACTTCATGTATTGCCCTCAGAAGCCAGAAGAGAACAACAGATCCCCTGGGATGGCTGTGAGCCTTTGTGTGGATGCTCTGAATGGAATCTAGGTGCTCTGCAAGAGCAGCCAGTGCTCTTAACCACTGACCTCTCCAGCCCCTCCTTCCAATTCTCACATAACTTTCAGTTTCAAAAGCTCTCTGCAGCAGTAATGTTATGAGCAACAAAACCAAAACATTATTTTGGAAAGTAAAATATGGATCAAAAATTTGATCTTAGGGTATTCCTCTCTTGGGAGTCCCTCTAACTTTCTGGAATTTTCTTATTTTTTTCTTAATAAATCTATGTTCACAATGGACTAAAAAAAATAGATTTTAGCATTAATCATTTTAGTATGCTGCTACCATGCTTAGAAGTTTAAAAGCAATTGGCTAGGGCTGGGTAGCAGTGGCACACGCCTTTAATCCCAGCATTTGGGAGGCAGAGGCAGAAGCAGGAGGATTTCTGTGAGTTCGAGGCCAGCCTGGTCTACAAGAGCTAGTTCTAAGATAGCTAAGGTTGTTACATAGAGAAATCCTATCTCGAAAAAAAAAAAAAAAAAAAAGACAGTTTTTAAAAACTAGCAATGCCTTAGATTTAGTCCACAAAATCTTGGCTTAGTGTTAAAGGTTATGGTCTAAATCATAAATAAGTTAATTCATACAGGCTGCACGTTTAATGATCACCCTTTGAAAAGAAGCTATTTCAGAACCAAGTTTGATGATTTATACCTATAATTCCAGCACATGTGAGACTGAAGCAAGAGGATTGCTAGGAGTTCAACATTAGCCTGGACTCCACTATGAAGTTTCAGAATAGTCCACTCCAGGCTACAGAATGAGGTGCTGTTTACACAACAAGAAAAACAAAACAATCCAAACAACAAGAAACTATTTTACCATGTCTGGAACCAAGGAGGCCAGTGACTCTAATCATAATGAAGCTTTCCTGCTCAGTCTCTTTCTATTCAGCTTATGACAGAAAGTTATTGACCTTGCTTTTGTTCCAAGTATGGAAGTATTTCTATTTTAATGTTTCTAGGCGATGGTGGTCATACTTTGAATTCTTACCTTGACCTGGAGCAGAAAGGCTTGGTACTGAAATGGCACCATCACTGGTGAAGGCTGAATAGAGGTTGTCACTGGAAGGAGATGGCTTAAGAGGCTGTAACAGCTGGTTGTGTCCAGTCTCTGGGGTGTTGCCTGTGGGGTGGAGGGTCTGCTGGGGGTGTAAGACTGAAGTTCCACTCTGACCAGACAGGTTACCTGGCGAAAAATAAGGAGGTTTGAAGAAACATAGAGAAGGAACTGAGGATGTATTTCAATTCACTTAGCAGCCATGAAATACTGGGTTTGATTCAGCACCACACAATCCAGGTGTGGTGGTATATATATAATCCCAGCATTTGGGAAGTATATGAAGAATGATCAGGAATTCAAGGTAATCCTTGACTACACAGTGAGTTTGAAGCCAGTCTGGGATTATCTTCAATCAACTGATCAGCCAACCAATCAATAAAACATCAAGAAAGAATAAGAAAAAAAATACATTCTATAAACTTCTTAATATATTTATTATTTCTGATTCCTCTTTCTCTTGAGTGGTAAATTGAAAAACAAAACAAAAACATATAAACTAATAAACAGACAAATTCTTATTGATATGAAGGTGAGAAGCAATAGATGTTTATAGATATAAGGCTATGTATATGAATAGCTACTCAAGAATGACAACTTTAGATAATACAGAGCTCAATAGCTTGGCCAGAAAGAAGTGTAAACTAGAACATGCAATAGATATGAAGATTCCATTTCTACTTCCATTGTTACATAGATATTAACACTGACTACATTAAAAAAAAAAAAGCCTATTTCTAGGGTCAAAAGAGGTTCAGAACACACCAGGTATAGAAGAGCCAAAGTAGGAATATTGGAAAGTCAAACTCCTAAAAAAAAAGACACAGGGGGAAAGTCAAAATCCTTTGAAATTTAATTAAAAGTTAACAAATGTTCAACAGGTTATGAGAGGAAGAAACAGAATGGCTGACCAGATTTTGCCCAGAACTTCTTACCTGAAAGCTGTGGACTTTTATTGCCCAATGAGCTGCTGCGACTAGATTTACTGCCTTTGCTTTTGGTAGGTCTCCTTCTTCTCCCTGACAGAGGAGCAGCTGGGGGAATAATGACAGCTGGAGGAACCTTGCCCAGTTTGGTATACAAAGATTCAATTTCATGTTTCTGACGACTCTGCAGGTCCTGAATTTCTTTAAGATGTCTATAAAAGACAACCAAATATGGATAAAAATATAGCCACCATTGTTCAAGTAAGAGTTAAATCATATTCCTAAATCTTCATTCAAGTGTTTATGTAGCTATGAACCCTTTTCTTAAATGTGCTGTGAGATTCTAGTTTGACAAAGAAAAAAAAAACCTGAAGCATACAAAGAGTAGGTAAATTTGATACTGTGATCCAGGTGATTAATAAAATCATAAACATAATTATACATTATAGTGCTATTATTAGATTAATGTTATAGACTAACAAACAACCAAGAGTCCTTAATTATTAACAGAACCAAAGAGATGGTTCAGTCATTAAGAGCACTTTGTCCTCTTGTAGAGGACCTTGATTCAGTTGCCGGCACCCACATCCCAGCTAACAACACAATCATCTATGTAACTCAAATTTCAGAGAATAATACTGTCTTCTGTCCTCCATGGGCACCAGGCATGCATACAGTACACATACATACATGTAGGCAAAACACTTGTACACATAAATAAACAAACATCTTTCTTTAAAGGTGTCACTAACAAAAATAATGTAATAATATAATGGTGCTAAAGGAATCCCCAAACTAGAAATGCCATGGGTGCTGATGAATACAAGATAACCCAAGGAATGATGAATCAGGTAATTTTAGCTTTTATGTATCACTTTCTGTTTAAAAGGAATGTGAGATCAGCATCTGTATTGAAATGCTTAAATACCAGACTTGAGATACAATATCTGCCACTATTTTACAGGAAAAAAATTACTTACTTTTCTCTTAGTCGTCGCAGTTCTAACCTTAAGTCTTCATCTTCAATGTCCGACTCATTGTCACTACTCATGTAAGAGGAGTTGAATGAATTACTAAGGCTCTGACTTAGATTCTGGATGGGAAGGCTCTTTGAACACAGGTGAGGCGGAGACTGTGGACTACCTGAGCCATCCTCTGCACCCCTACTAAGAAAGGCAGCCTCAGGGTCAGAAGAGGGCCCGTTCAGATGGGAAGGCTCTGCCAGCTCAGGCTTCTCCTTCTTTGGTATCACAACAGGACTAACAGTTTGTTCTGAATCTCTGAAAGGAGGAGAGGTCACTGGTCCCTCTTTTTTGAGTTCTGTGACCTTGTCCTCAGTTCTTGAAACGGAGAAACGACCTACTTTGTTTGCTGTAGTTGTCACCTGAAAACGTCCAACCTTGGTAGGTTGTCCGGTTTCTGACTTTGCTTCTGGGGCAGGTGTTTTGTGGATGCCATCTGGCACATCTAAGGAGATGCCAGGGATGGTTATTCCATTAGGCTCTGGCTTTACCAGGGTACTCTCTGGACTACTACTTGAAAGAACTGATGACTCTGATGTGCTAGATTCAAAATGAACCGACTTTGTATCTTCTGACCTATTTTTACGTTCTTTCTGAGCATCATCCATTGTAACTGAAACCTGATGGAAAAGAGAATGAAGTTTGATTAAAAATGATGTCCCTGGCTGGGGTAGTGGCAAATAACATTAATCCTAGCACACCAGAGGTAGAGGCAGGCAGATTTCGGTAAGTTCAAGGTTAGTGTGGTATATACAGCAAATCCCAGGCTATCCAAGGCTAAATAATAAAACCTTTTCTCAGAGAGAGAGAGAAAGAAAGGGAAGTTGTTCTTTATTTGTAGCATGGACAGTTAAAAGAGGGATTGCTTTTGATGTAACTTAGTTGGTAGAACGCTTGCCTAGTATGAAAGAGGCTATTTGGTGAGATCCTCAGCACCAAGTAGACCAGGGTTGGTGATGCATGCCTGTTATCCCAGCACACTTCGGGGCGGGGTGGGGCAGGGGATAAGGGTAAAAGGAGGATCAGCTTATGAGCCTTTGAACCTGTGGAATTTCTTTCCATAGTCTCGTCAATCATGGTAAAGTAAACTGAACACCTACTACAGAGACAGTACATCAGTAATGAGATGCACAATCTCAGTGCCTGCTGAATCAATGATTCATTTTTACCTCTCATGTGAAACAACTCAAATTCATGTCTCAGTCAAATTATAAATAACAGGTCACAGGATCATGAATGTTTCTTATGAATAAATTATACACAACAATATTAAACTTCAGATTCGTGACAGGGCTTATTCATCATATAAACTCAGTCCATTCCAAACTCTTATAAGTTTGTGAATTAAGACTTATCACCTATAATTACCAACTCCAAGGACTATCCCAAAAATAATTTTGAAGTGTTTGTAAAAAGTTTTATAAGTACCATGAGCCAGAAAATTCACTGCTTGGAACAAGTGGGGAAATAAAATGTAGTATCATTTGATGTTGAATTCACTTGAGGACTGAATCCTAAGAAAAATACCTTAAAATGGAAACATTTTAGGCATAAATGTATACTATTACTTTTCTTAGTGTGTTGGAAAATTACTCTCATTTTATTTTTACTTTGAGAAAGGACCTCACTAAATTACAAGTATAGACTTGAATTCACTCTGTAATCCCAGGAAGACCTCCCACCTCTGGTTCCCAACCAAGTATCTGGGAACAAAGCCCATGCCACCAGGTTTGGCTAATAATTTTATTATATACCCTGGCCCCAATAGAGAGGATCAAAGCAAGGAAAATGATCATCTTACCTGAAATCGTCCCATCTTAACAACACCAGCTCCTAAACTAGTTGCTAGGACATGGCCTTCAGTGGCTTGAGAAATAGAAAGATAGAAGCAAAATTAACATTTCTTTCCAGTTTCTTTGCAATCTCACCAGAAATAAGATATTAAAGATTCTTTTTCCACCCTTCAAGACTGTCTGCTACCTCAGGCTGACCTTAAACTTGATCTTTCTGGGTCAGTCTCCCAAGTGTTAGAATTACAGGTGTGCGAAACAGCTAAAGATTTGTTTCTAAAAATTTTAGTCATCACTATGGTTTGTGTATGATGTCTGCATGTAAAATGGGCATGTACATATGAGAGGGGAACTTTTATGACTCAGCTCTCTATTTACAGTGCAGATCCTGAAGACAGAAAGCAGGTTGTCAGGCTTGTCAGGCAAGCACTGTTAACCACTGATTCACTTCACCAGGCAAGATCAGTTTGTATATTCATTCATTCACTCATTAATTCATGTTTTTCAAGATAGAGTTTTTCTGTGTAGTCCTAGCTGTCCTGAAACTCAGAGATCTGTCTGCTTCTGCCTATCAAGTGCTGGGATTGAGGCGTGCACCACCACCACCAGAGCAATTTGTATTTTTAAAAATACACACATAAACAACTACACTTATTTATCGTGTGTGTATATGTGTGCACACTTCACACAAGTGTGAATGTGTGTGGAGGTTAGGATGATAACCTGTTGGCAGTTGGATCTCTTTTCTCACCTCATGAGTCTTGAAGCTCAAACTCAGGTGGCAGCAGGAATTTCTGTCTGCTGAGCAAATATACTTGTAGGTGGAAACAAACTGCTTGTTTGTTTTCCAGCCACCCAGACCCAAAATAATCACATAGAAACTGTATTATTACAATATTGCTTGGCATATTAGCTAATGATTCTTATTGGCTAGCTCTTACATCTTAAAATTAATCCATTTCTATTAATCTGTGTATTGTCACGTGGTTGTGGCCTACCATTAAGGTTCCGTCTGGCATCAGGCATCTGTCTCCTATAGCAGCTACATGGCTTCTCCCTGACTCTGCCTACTCTCTCTCTCTCTCTCTTTCCCAGCCTGGCTATATTCTGTTAAGTCATTAGCCGAAAGCAGCTTCTTTATTAACCAATGGCAATAAAACATATTTACAGCATACAGAGGGGAATCCTACATCACATACTGGCCTTTCTTGACATTACAGATCTGTGGACTACAACTTTAACAGATATTACTAAATTGACTGTCAGAAGCTTTCTCCAATGCGACTGAGAAATGCTATTGCTTACAGTTTTGTTTTGCATTTTTATTAAGTATTTTCATATTGCATGTCTTTAATCGCAGCACTCAGGAAGCAGAGGCAAACAGATTTCTGAGTTCAAGGCCAGCCTGGTCTATAGAGTGAATTCCAGGACAGCCAGGGCTACACAGAGAAACCCTGTCTCAAAAAAAACAAAACAAAATTATTTTTTTGTATCATTTGTCAGTCTGTGTTGACTTTTAGGAGCTCTTTATATTACATAGTGAGATCTTGTCTCATAAAACAAAACAAAAAGTATTTTCCTATTCTTTTACTCAAATGTTATTCTAAAAGACTACTACTGCGTACTCTCGGCTGTGTTTCAGATTTAGTAACTCGTTCCTAAATTAGAAAACTTTGATCAGTGGAAAAAGTTCTGTTTACTGCCCATTTTTACAAATACATTTTATTGGAACAGAGCCAAGCTCCTCCATTTATATATTATGAATTACTGTTAGTTTGGAGTATGATTTCAAAGACTGGTGATCTGAAAAGTCTTTTTAAAAAAGTTTCAATTGGGCATGGTAGCAAATGCCAGTAATTATAGCACTCAGAAGGTGGAAGCAGGAAAATCATAAGTTCAAGGTAATTCTTAGCTATATAGTAAGTTTCAGGCTACCCTAGGCTACACAAGACCCTTCCTATTAAAAAAAAACCAAACAAACAAGAAAACAAACCAAATGGTTCTGGATTCTGTTCTAGACAGTTGAGAGTAAAAGCATAAATCTGTGTTTTCAAGTATTTCAGGAGGTTTTACTATTTTTTGAGTGTGCCTCAACTATACCGAAAAATAGACTTATGATATTTTCACACACACACATATATATACTTTTATGATTTTATACTGATATTATTGTAGTAATATTTTATAAAGTTTCATTAAGAATTTTAACTTGACTTAGCTTTATCCAGATGACTACACAGTTGCCCCAAAGCATTTATATATCAAAATATCCTATCTTGCCAGGTATGGAGGCACACACCTTTAATCCCAGCACTTGGGAGGCAGAGAAAGGCAGATCTCTGTGAGTTTGAGGACAGCCCGGTCTACATAGTGAGTTCCAGGACAGCCAGAGTTATGTAGAGACCCCATCACAAACAAAAAAACAATCTTCTCACTGGTTTAAAAGTCATCTTTTCAGATTGTACATCCTTTCTTCCTGTTTTGTTTCTCTGACACAAGGTCTGATACTGTAGCCCACACTGGCTTACAACCCATGGCAATCTTGTTGTATTAGTTTTCTGAGTTCTGGGATGGCACCTAGATGCTGCATTCCCTTTAATTTGGTGCTCTCCCCAACAAGTGATGTAGATTGAACAGGGATTTGTGCTTGTAAGGTTTCATTCCCAGCCCTGAAGTAAACATCAGTTTTTAATCACATATATTCAAGGCATCTAATTTATATTGGAAATCGACTTTACTTTGTCCATTTCTAGACTTTCTAGTCTTGTTTTACTGATTTCTACCATTTTTAATGAGAATCAATTCATCAAGTGGTTGCATAGAAAATAAAAATTATAACGTCCAAACTGATAAATTATTTTCTTTCTCTCTCTCTCTCCTCCCTCCCTTCCTTTCGTGCTTTCAAACAGGATTTCTGTCTTTGCCTCCTGAGTGCTGGGGGTAAAGTTTTATGCCACCACCAACTAATAGTATCTTATATTTTTATCTATGAACATATGTTCTGGCTTTTCCAACTAAACTGTATTTCTACACAGTTAGTGTTACAAATGTTGTAGATTACCTGTAAATTGACTGACTACCCACTCTCTTTCTTCCCTCTTGAGACAGTGTCTAGCTTTGTAGCCAGGCTTACTTTATTTAACTATGTTGCTCAGTTTGGCCTTCTGCTCAAAATTATTCTGTCTCTGCATATTGAGTGCTGGGATTACAGAGGCACACTACTACTCTCGGGCTTGCAAACTGCTTTTTATAAATATACTTACATTTTAAAATTAATCTCTTATAGCAAGATTCCTGCCTAGCTAATAACAAATGATTTTATGCTATGAAACCATACAATGATTACATGTACCTCTTCACCCCAATAATCATTCAAGACTCATTAATCAACCAAAATTTCCTGCTTTAGATACTAGATAACTAATATTTCCTCCTCAGTCAGGAAACCACACAAATGTTATATATAATAGTCTAAAGTGCACAACATTCTCAAAAATGTATCTTTTAAAAAGTAAACTAGTCAGGCAGTGGTGGTGCACACCTTTAATCCCAGCACTCAGGAGGCAGAAACAGGTGGATGGATCTCTGTGAGTTCAAGGCCAGCCTGGTCTACAGAGTGAGAGTTCCAGGACAGGCTCTAAAGCTACAGAGACACCCCTCATGCGCTTTCTCGCTCTCTTTCTCCGTGCATGTGTGTAAACTATATCAATTATCAATTACAGGTAGAATTTGGCTTAATAAAATGAAAGTAAGAAAGGGGTGTCTCACCATCCTTTTGAGGCTGTGTTCTTGCTTCTGTAACTGCTGTTGAAGCCATCGTGGACACAGGCTGCAAAACACATACACACAGATACCACAGAATCTTCAGTTTTAATCATTCTTACAACTTTTGCCTTGTCACTTTTTCTCTGGTCTATGTAAAATGGCAGAAAGATAGTATATATGAAGAGATACTTTTGTTTAGTTAGTGTAGTGCTTTTTTTCTTTTACAACCTAAAGGTCTATATCAAGAGGCAGCTTTTAAGAAGAAACATTGGGTCTTAACTCTTTACTGCTTTCTCTTACTTAATTTACTGCTTAAGTCTTTACTACCTTTTTACTCACAGAATTTAAAAAATAAAAAAAAAAATGCCAGCAGAACCAAGAAAAAGGCATTGGATTCTCCAGAGGTTGAGTTACATACCTTTTTAAATGTAAGTTTATTTTTAATAATAATATACTAAATATAATATACTAAATAATAATAATAAACTAAAATTCAACTGTGTTGAATTTTAGAAACACTTTATATTACATAGTGAGACCTTGTCTCATAAATCAAAACAAAAAGTATTTTCCTATTCTTTTTTTCAATATCATTCTAAAAGACTGCTACTTCCTACTCTGGGTTGTGAGCTGCTAGGAACTGAACTGTGGTCTTCTCCAAGAGCAGCAAGAGTGCTTAACTGCTGAGCCATCTCTCCAGTCCCTCTAATAAGATATTTAAATAATGTAGTTTAGATATTTACTGAAATATATACTTTTTTTTTTTTTTTTTTTTTGGAACAGGGTTTCTCTGTGTAGTCTTGGCTGTCCTGGAATTTGCTTTGTATACCAGGCAAGCCTTCAACTCTGATCCCCCTGCCTGCCTCCCATGTGCTCGGATTGAAGGCCTATACTACAAAGGCCTGGTTGAAAAGTAGTTTTAATCAAAATATTGTCAGAGGTGTTTAACCTCTTCCCAAGCTTAAATACAAAATTAGTAAAATTGATCTGCAATATAATCTACCTAGAGATAAAGAAAACAAAACAAGCAACTCTGATATCTTTTCCATAGTTACATAGGGGATCAGAATTAATCTTTCAATAGTCTGTGCCATTTCTGTTGACAATGACTTAATAGGAGTAATTAGGGTATTAATCATCTATATTATAGTTTGTGCTCTAAAAAACAATTCAAAAAAATTTTTTCAAGGCTTTAAAAACTTACACCAACAGCAGATGTCACGGTAATAGTCTCTGGACTAAGTGTTCTTCTCAATTGAGCATCAAGATCTTCTAATGGTTGCTGGGACTAAACAAAAAACAGTTACAGTATGGCAAGTTGTTTAGTAGCTTCAGTCACTATATATAACTAATTTATATATAACACATTATTTTATGCTTTTAGATCACAACACAGTATTTGCTGTAGTGTAACACAACAATTTATTGGGTTGTTAGTCTATCAGTCCTTAGTGATTTATGCTTTTGTAGATTCAAAAATGATCTTATCTTCTATGCTTAATGTTGGTAGGGAATTTACTGTCTTCTATCTAAAAACACATTCTGAAAAGTGTATCACCAATTGTTAGATTATTTAATATTCTCATTTTCTTTTTTAAAAAACATGTTTTGCTGTGTAGTTCAGGCTAGCCATCTAGATACAGTAATATTCTTGGTTTAGTCTTGTGGGGGCTTTTACTGCACTGTCTGGCTCTTTCTCAATTTCATACATCTTTCTGGGAACTGCTTTTGAATAAGATAGCATTGACACATTCAGTCATTATCAAGGGTATTCTATCCTTCAGATTTTAAGATGTGTATTTCCTTTTCTCACTAATGACAGTAAGGAGGTACTATGCCTCACTGGTGTACAGCTCAAGTGCCTTCTACCTTTGGCATAAGCTAACCTTGTCATCTTTCTTTTCTATATGCAGACTTTTATGCATTAACTCCACATATTTCTCATTACACTTTACCTTTCCTTAGAAATTTGGATGCTGAATTATGTGTCTTACTATGCTTCCCAGATTGGTCTCATATTCCTGGGTTCAAGTGATACTCCCACACCATAGTGCCAGGTTTCTGAATACATGTTTCTAATGAGAAACAGGTTAAAAATTCATTCCCAATTGACAGGCTTTTCCATTACACATCCTTTTCTCTTGAAATTTTATGGCTGGGTAGAGTGTGTTCTCTGTTGGAGTTCATACTCTTGTAGCAAGTTTCTTACCCTAATATGATCTATAGAAAATAAGGAACAAGGTAGAAACAAATTCATACTGGATTTCTAATGTTAGTAATGTGTCATAATTTTCTGACATATAATTAAAAATGAATTACAAATATCATTTCAAATTTACTTGCTGTCTCATGTCAGAAGCTTTTTCATGTTTACAATGGATTCAGAACAAGTGCTTTCTTGATGAGAATGTCATTTAAGCATTGGTAACAGAGCAGTAGAGAAAGTAAAAACTAAAATTTATAAGTAGGTATAACCATATGATACTTCAATTATTTCACCAATGAAAGAAATTCTAAACACATAAGGAATTAGCCATGTGGTTTCCACCCTTCCTTCTGGACACAAACTTGCTTTGTAGGCCAGGTGTCCTCATACCCACAAATCTTTTGCTTGACCCACCCAAGTGGTGGAATTATAGACCACTTCTACCAAGACTGGCTTATGCATGGCTCCTTTCTTTAAACAGAATGAACACTGAATTTTAAGAAAGTAAAGAACTCTCAGGGTGGGGTAGAAGGGCTCCTGAGATTTTAAGAATGCTGACTTATGAGTCACTTCTAGATAAAATTTGACTACATACAACTTCTTATTTCTATAATGGCTTAGAAGCCTTACCTTATTCTTTACCCACTCAAAATTTCATTTTATTTGTGTGTGTGTGGTGGTGGTGGTGGGCTTATATACATCAAGTGTCTTCTCTGATCTAACCCAGATCTACCTTGAGGCAGATCTCTCATTTGATCTCATTTCTAACCCAGAGCTTGCCATCTGACTTATCAGATACAGTTTTTTATTTTTTCATTTATTTGTTTGAGGCAGGGTCTTGCTAAGTGGCAATGGATACCTGGAACTCACATATTCACCTGGATGCTAAGATTAAAAGCATGTGCCACCATGCTGGCCTGTTAGATAGTTTAAAAGCATGGTATTAAAACACAGCCAAAAAAACAAGGTGGAAGCCAAGATTATGTAGTGGAGAATTTATACAAATTCTGTGAAAGAAAGCAGGGGCATAGAAAGTAATCTGCCAAGTTAGGGGCACCTGAGTTAGAGAAGGCCCAGGAAAAGGTGTCAGTTGCTCACAGGATAGAGTACCAGCTGGAAGTTCAGGACCCACTGGTGGCACCTATAATAACGAGGGAAAATTCAAATCCATGAGACACCATTGTTAAAGTTATATACTAAAAAGAAAATTACTAATTTGAATGCAGAAGAATGAAATGAAAATGTGTTTAGTTATGGCATACTTCTATCATTTATGTTATATTATCTAATCTGTCCAAGAGGACATCATAACCAAAGACATTATAATGAATTATGATGAAATAGCCATCAAACAAATAGTAAAATACAATAAAAGGGAAAATAAAAAGAGACAGGGTTTCTTTGTGTAACAAAAGTCCTGGTCATCCGGGAACTCACTCTGTAGACACCAGGTTGGCCTCAGACTCACTGAGATCCACCTTCCTATAATCCAAGTGCTGGGATTAAAGGTATGCACCACCACCACCCAGCAAAGAACAAATTCTTTACAAGATGTACAGTTAGGAGCTGGATAGATGGCTCAACAGTTAAGAGCATTGGCTAATCTTGCAGAAGACCTAAGTTTGGTTTCCAGCATCTATATAGAAGCTCACAACTCCAGTTCTAGGGGATCTGATATTGGTGGGCACCAGGCACCAAGTGCCACACAGAGATACACAAAGGCAAAACATTCATACATATAAAAATAAACCTTAAAAAAAAGAGGTACATCAACAAATTTGTAAGCCACTATATTTAAGAAAAAAAATAAAACAAGACTTTTCAAAGAAAACAAGCAGGTTTAGAAATAAACAAGGGTTAAGACTGATAATAAAAGGTATAAAAATGTATCACTGTCAAATAATATGTTTTGTCTACATAAAGACTATACAGATGGCCCCTGACTTAGAATGGTAAGATCAAAAAACCTTTTAATTTGTAATAGAGAAAAATCAATATATATTCAGTAAAAACTGTACATTGAATTTTTTTGTTTTGTTTTTTGTTTTGAGACAAGGTCTTGTGATATAGGTCAGGATAGCTTAAACCTGTGTTAGGGTTATAGGCATGTACTAATACATTTTAGTCAACTGTTGGAAGGATTACAGGTACACCACCACATCAAGTCAATTTTTGGAAGGTGTTGACGAGGTTAGTCTCAAATGAGTCTCCAACTTCAGACTCCTGAGTAAATGAGACTACAGGCACATGCCACCAGAAAAATTTCTAATTCTGCTCTATTTTCAGAATAGCAAAATATGGTATCTCTTATAATGCTGGACAGTAACAAACTACAGCTGTCAGTCATCCAAGTTATTACAAGAGTAAGGAAGCGATATTCTTCTGTTTTGTATTTTTATGCTATAACACTAGTTATAATAGCATTACTCTTCTGTCAAAAAAATTCTACCATCAATAAGCAATGCAGAAAAAGGGTAGAAATATATAATACAATAGTTGTTCAGTCTTGTGACTTGGAACAGAAAGAGACTAAGACAGAATGAGAGGAAATCTACAATAGCAGAACTAAATACATTCTAATTATTGAATTTGTAGAATGAGATTATTCTCTATTTCATTATATCAATTTT